CTACTCAAACCTCCTTCTCCTCTCTCTCCCTCGCTTCCTCCTCCCCTGCCTACCCTCCTCCTCCTCCTCATCCTCCTCGCCTACTCAAACACATCGTCCTCCTCCCTCACCTTTCTCCTCCTCCTCCCCACCTCAACACCTTCTCCTCCTCCGTCCCTCTCCTCCTCCTCCTCCACCACCTTCTCCCTTCTCCCCCTCCTTCTCCGACCAGCTCTCTCCTCCTCTCTCCTTGTCCTCCTCCTTCCACTCAAACACCTTCTCTCCTCCTCCTGCCTCTCCTCCTGGCCTCCGCTACTCAAACACCTTCCTCCTCCTCCTCCCTACTCAAACACATTCTCCTCCTCCTCCTCCTCCTCCTCCCTCACCTTCCCCCTACTCCTCCTCCTCCTCCTCTACTCCAACACCTCCTCCTCCTCTCCTCGCTCCCTCACCTTCTCCTCCTCCTCCTCGCTCCTCCTCCTCTCCTCCTCCTCCACTCAAACACCTTTTCCTCCTCCTGCCTCCCTTCCTCCTCCCGTACTCAACACCACCTTCTCCTCCCCTCCTCCCTACTCAAACACCTTTTCCTCGTCCTCCTCCTCCTCTTCCCTCGCCCTCTCTCCTCTTCTTCCTCCTGCCTACTCAAACACTTTCTCATCCTCCTCCTCCTCCTCCTCCTCCCTACTCCACAAGCCTCCCCCTCCTCGCTCCTCCTACCCTCACCTTCCCCCCTACTCTCCTCCTCCCTACTCAAACACCTTCTCCTCTTCGCTCGTCTTCCTCGCATAAAAATAAGAAGCAGCATGGCTACTACTTTCCCTACGGCCCGCTAAAACAACAGCGCGCCGTGCGCGCATGCGCACTTCATGAGCCGTCCAGTTTCAGGCGAGAGTCAAATACGCCGCGGTACCCCGTCGTATTTACGGATCGCTCCGGTAGGCATGTAGTAGCAGGGCTTAAACTAACCTAAGACATGTTCACTAGCAGCTCGAGCGCTAGTGACCTGTAAAAAATCTACTCAAGCCCTTAAAAATAGCTCCCAGCCCTTTACTTTTCTGAAGTGCCGCCCGCTGAGGCTACGCAGCTGAGCCAAAATTTTGCCATTTGCGGGGGAGTGGGGGGTGGGCGGGGCGGGTGAGTGTGGTGATCTGGTTTTGATCTAGGACGCTCCGAAGATGCATCTGCCGAAATTCCTTTGACTGGTGAAAATTGTAGACTTCAGGCATATATTCAGTATATATAGTCATATATATATATATATATATGTATATATTATATATATACATAATATATATATTATTATATCAAGAGCCATAAGAAATACTAGCAGTGTACAACAGAAAAATAGTGCTATTTACGGCAATATTATTCTACTTTGTATGCGCGTTCTAGACAAGTTCATGTATTGCGATTGAAGCACATTCTTTGCTCTCTAAAATAAGCACAACCGCTTGTCTCTACGATTACTCATAGGCCGCAGATATTGGAGCGCTAATCATGCTCCCACAGGCCTAGTAGAATAATATTGCCGTGAATAGCCACTTATTTCCCAGTTTTGCCATTGTTACACTCTAGCGTGTATTATATAGCTCTTGATGAATATATAATACAAATACATCAGTACTAGTTATAAGAGCCCAGCAGCAATAATCCTTATAGTAACGATTAGAACTATTAAGTCAGTCTACGGAAATATCAAAGTTCAGTTTAATTTGAACCGTTATTGGCTGACTATCTCGACTACTCTAGTAATTCTCTACTACAAGCTTACAGCAGTTTGTTAGTAGTTAGTACAGCCAGTATAGAAGTATAAGCTAGTTAGCAGTTATCCTGTTTGTGTGCAGTTTGGATATTGTATAGCTGTAGTTGCTTAGTTCGAACTGAAATATAAGCCACATAGAAGCATGTTATGCTAGTGTTTAGGATGAACATCGTATTAGTAAAGCTTAGAATACAGTTTACAGAAGGAGCTATTAAAGAGGTTATTCCAGTAACAGTACCTGACAAACCATGACTACTATTCCACCTGCTTAATTATAGGAACAGAGACTGCGATTGATATATTAACAGGGTGATTCAACTCCGTATAATAAATTTGAGTTTCTAATTTGCATATTTTTAGCAAACCGTCAAATTGAAATAATCTTCATTGAAAAGGGGTGGCGCATTGTCAGTGTTTACCTAACCCTGAGGTCACTGGAAAACGTAAACCTAAGTTAATTAAACCGTTCACGAAAGCTCGTAAACAGAAAGTGTAGACAGAACCGTATTGCGATAATACACTTGTGAGGGATTGGCATGACTGCACACTGCCACCTCGTGTGATAGAGGCCAGCATCCGGTGCGGTTGACCGATTTTATTGTCTGAGGTACTGTGACTGTTTTTAAGTCTAGGTTCTGAAGTGTTATTTATGTTGCACAACGCAACAGTTTATAGTTACTTATTACGTAGTTTCGGCGGTCGGCTTAGTACGTTGGCTGAAAAAAGTACTAGTAATATGTTATCTGGTAGCGCATTCCACTCGGCCAAACGGGGCCTGGTTCAGCCAGGGAACATCTCTACTAGCGCTTACGATTTCTTACTAGCCTCGGGCGACGGGGCGCGTGCGAGCGTTAGTTCTCAAGCCCTGTGACGGTGTTAGTTGTGTTAAGGGCCGCTGTGTTGAGTAGGGAAGAGGAGGAGAGATGGGGGAGGAGGAGGAGGAGGAGGGTCGAGAGAGGAGGAGCGAGAATGGGTTGAGTAGGGAGGAGGCAGGACGGGAGGAGGAGGAGGGAGGAGAGGAGGAAAAAGGCAGGAGGAGGAGGAGGAAAAGGAGCGAGGAGGAGGAGCGGAGGAGAATGTCTTTGCAGCTTAGGAGGAAGAGGAATGGTGCTTGATTAGGGAGGAGGAGCGACGGAGGAGGAGAAGAAGGTGTTTGCCAGTAGGGAGAGGCGAGGAGGGAGGAGAGGAGAAGTGTTGGAGTAGGGAGGAAGAGGAGGAGGAAGTAGGGGGGAAGGTGAGGACGAGAGAGCGGAGGAGGAGGAGGAGAGAAGGAGGAGGTGGTGGTTGAGTGAGGGAGAGGGGGGGAGGAGTGTTGTATGGAGTAAGCCGAGAAAGAGGAGGAGAGAGGAGGAGATAAGGGGCGGAAAGTGAGGGAGGAAGAGGAGGAGTAGGGCTGAGAGGTGAGGGGAGGAGGAGGAGCGAGGAGGGATGAGGAGGGAGGCAGGAAGAGGAGGAGGAGGCAGAGGAGCCGAGGAGGAGGACGCCAGGAGTAGGGCAGGAGCCCAGGAAGAGGAGGGGAGAAGGTGTGTTGAGTAGGGAGGAGGAGCGAGGCAGCGCAGGTGTTGGAGTATGGGAGAAGGGGAGGCAGTAGGTGTTGGAGTAGAACTTTCTCCTTGCCCCTCCTGCCTCCCCCTCCTCCCTACTCCAACACCTTCTCCTCTCCTTCCTCCCTCTCTTCCTCCTCCCTACTAAACAACCTCCCCGCCTCTCTCCCCACTCCAACACCTTTCTCTCCTCCTCTGGGGCCTCCCCCCCTCCTTCCTCTTGCCTCCCTACTAATACCTTCTCCTCTCCTTCCTGCCTCCTCTCCTCCCCTCCTCCTCACATTATTATTAACATTATTATTAACATTAAAGCAGGCAGTAAGAGTTTATTTTCAGCGCTCAGTTTCAGGGCGAGCCGCCAATTACGCCGGTGTACGGCGTATTTGAGCGGGCTGGCGGTGAGGGGGGGGTGAGACTAGTGCCGCATATTGCGCATGGCGCTGTCGTGCCGCCCTTGCCAAGAACAAGAAGCGCCTGCGCGCATGCGCAGCTTAGGAGCGTCCAGTTTCGGTGTGGCGAAGTGTCCAAATACGCCGGTACACCCCTAACAATGTGAATGTTAGTGTTACTTAGTAACAGTACAGTAACTTTGACTTTGAGTAAGCGCCTAAGCGGAGTAACAACATTTACTTAGGGGTATATTTAATTATTAATATATTCACAAAATAGTATTTCTTAGTTTTTTATATTGACCCCATTTGGTACAACTTACCTAATCCGTTAAGTTCATGACCTAATCTATCAGCCACTTTCTGTTTTAGTTCTATCACTTTGGATGTTGAATTTATATCGTCAATTTTGACTCGGCCATTATTTTTCCCAAACAGTCGTACGTAGAACATTTCGTTTGCTCAAGCCGAGTGCGTCACTATGTACAGTTGTAACGTGATATACGTGTATGTTATTTTAGTCTTCTGTAGTACTACTAGTACTAGTAGTAAAGCATCTAGGGTAAAGTAAGACAAGAAGATGGTTTCGCAGACGTATTTTTACTTCGTATTTTTACTATCGAACCCCGTTCACTTGTTTCAAGAAGAGACCCATGGGAAAAATCGTGTATTAATTTTAACTTTTAAATTATACCTCAATATACGCATGCTTTAATAGATAGTCATAATAGGTTAAACGATAATAACAGTGTTATCAATAAAAATCCCGACGTTGTATATTTATTCTTTCATTTTGCTGAAAAGTATAAGATTTCATTGTCGGCCATGACGTCATACGTAAACACCAAGGCTAGATTAATGGCGAATGCAACGTCGAATGCAGTGAAAGCTTTCCAGTGAAAGTTTGTACAACAGTCAATGTGTTCAAAAGTTTAGGACCATGGATTCTGAAGACGAATGTTTATACGGTAGTGATTCAGGACATGAATCTAGTAATGACGACGACGACTTTCCTATGCCAATGGAAGAGGCTGAGCCTGGAGTTTCAGCTCAGGACAAAATCGATTACGTTGATGATTTTCACTACGAAGTTCTAACTCCTGAAAAGATTGTTCAGCACATGGTTGATTGTATAAAAGAAGTAAACCAAGTGGTTGAGGTATTGATAAATAGATTTAGTTAGCATATCCCTAAAGCAATTTTATTCGCGGAAAAAAAAACATTTTTTTTTCCGTGACCTCGATATTAAATATAAGTTGGACTGAGCAGGAATGGCAACCTAATGGCAATGCCCTGACATGGCGTCAATATTGTGTTTACATACACGTCCATTTTACTTGTAAGATACTGTAAATGCGTAATTTTCTTGGTACATGTGTCCCGTGAATCACTCACTTCATTCGTTGAACCAATTTATTTCTCAATTTAGGCTTGCATCAACTTGCAATCAAACAAGCTGAGCATTGTTTGTTTTGAACTGTAGGATGGGTCAGTTTGATGGGTTAGTTGATGAATAGAATAGTGTATTGAAATGTAAATACCACTTAATATCTACACATTGTACATTATTGATCTAATGAAACTTCAGACTGGCACAGATGTGTTTCAAGTTCCACATCAGCCATTGTTATCGTGTCCTTGAGCTGGGAACTTTATCCCAATTTGCTTCAGTTGACACCAGCTGTACTAATTGGCACATAGTGTGGCTGAGAGGGTCTATGTCCTTTGGGGTACTGCCGGAACGTACCCTGGGTACGGTCCGGTATACCGGAACGTACCCTGGG